CCTGCCGATCCGGTCTGTTGTTCCTTTAACGAATGGAAGGAAGGCTAGTATCCTTTCGTCTGGTTGTGTGTGAAAACCCGCGAAACACAAGATTGTCATATAGGAAACACCCGTGAAAGCCTCAAGAATATAAAGTTGATTATTTCGCGTAATCTGCCAGCAGTTTATTTTAATTCGTGACCTCAATATTCTTTCGTTTTAAAGTGAAAAGTAATTGAGATTAACATTTGCTTTTGATATACATATGTGTAAAGGTTAGATTAGGATATCAACTCGAATCTTTAACACACAGATTTATTAGCATTGTTTGAAATCTCCCAAAATTTTTAAACGAGGTAAATATATATACATATTCGGATATTGTAGAGAGAGAAAGCGAAGATAATTATTGTAATTTCTTACAAAATTTTGTGTTTAATCTAATTTTATGATTATTTTTATGTCTGGTTTTGTTCGGTTCGATTTTGTTTCCAAAAACGAAATGTTCGGTAAAATTTACACTTTTGAATCTGGCAACCCTATCCACACAATAAGTTCATGGCATTCTATCTCGACTGGTTCGTGCACGCTGAGGTTGCCAGGCGGGGGATTTGTAGTAGGGATGCGAAAGTTTTTTTCCTCCCTTTCTACTCCACACTTCTGATCGTTCATAAATGTCACGTGTTTTTTCAAACGGACTCGGTTACCGTAATCCACGGTGGTGTTCAAGAGTTAATTCATTTAATATGAATATATATATAATAGTTCAACATCTTAACATTCAGACCGTAGTGGTGCTTCGTATTTAAAGTAATGTTTCTCACATAAACGGTCTTATTTCCAATCTTATTATTGAGAAATCATTCTTCTGTATGATCTTCTCGCTCTTTATTCCAAAGCTTAAATTAGTGTGATCAATACCGTAACCGTCCTCATTGCAGGTCATCCTCGCAAAAAATGGCCGTCAAGAGCTGTGGATTCTCACATCGTCGTTCCAAAAATTCATGACCGCGACTATGAACTCGAACGAGACGAATTTCCGGATACAGGCCGGTTACGTAGATGAGCTGGTTCGCGGTACCAAGTGTAACGGTGCGGGTCTCCGCCATGACCGCAATAGCGGTTACGAGACGTCCGCGCCCGCGCCGCTATTCGCCAAATGAAAATCGTGGCACCACGGGGAGTTCGATTCGCATTTTCAGACGGTGACGTCCGTCTGGTGGCATAAGTATCCAGAATTCTTCCCAGAGTACCACCATTCCCCATTCCTAATCCCTCCATCGTATTCATTCCCAAGAATCTTTACCCGACCATCTTTTTTCCCTTGGATCGTCACATCTATTTACAGTCACAGACCAGTCACAGATTATACTATCTTTATTGATCACAATTAAAAAATGCGCGACACTGTATGTACCTTAATACTTATTCCCGATGCGAAGAACAAACGGCTCCTCTTTACTATATTCTCAAGATTTTGTAGAACTTATCAGTTCGAGGAACCCTGAAGCTATACTCGTGGTGCCAGTTCAGCTTTACAGTCTGTTTACAATAGTTTTTTTCTGGTGCTGTAATATACATAATATTCATCGGAAATAACAACGGATAAAATATATCACCCCGTTCCTAATGTAATAAATATTTTATTTAATTTTATTGACAATAGATATCCAATATAGATGTATGTGCATTTTTAATTTCAAATTTCATTTTGTGTATTTTATGCATATTCCTAGCAATAAATGCGTTATTACTATAATAATTATTATTAAATAACTACTATAATAATTACTACTAAGAAATAATATTTATGAATCATTTATTACATAATAAGACTATGATAAAAAGAATAAAATAAAACCAATTGTACGCTGAAGCTAGCAGTATTGCGTATTTAATGAATATAAATTATTATAATAAATGGAAATTTATCTAAAAAATTTGACTCATTTTTTAAATTGTTAATTCCATTCTTTAGAAATATTTGCATTTTTAAATTGATACATTTATTACAAGTGTGTTTTATTTCTCTTAATAATTATAATTTTATATAAGGTAATATTTTTTAATTATATACCTCTAATTATAAATTTTAAACAAAATAAAAAAACGTTTGTTAAAACATATCAGAGAGCTGTTAATATCATTGTAATATCGTACTTATAATTATAATATCATTATAAGTAAACGTCGACGTTAAAATATTTGCAATACTAATTTGTAGTATACCTACTAAACCTAACCTAACAAAGAATGTTATGGGTGAAATAAAAGTACATTAAAAAAAAGAATAATTTAAGTTTCAATTAGTTGTAAAATTTTGAATTTGTCATAATTTGTACAAATTTGAAAAGTAGAAAAAAAGCTCTTTAAAAATTATTTGGGCATTTTAAGGACAGAGGTATACAGTAGCTACATTTTTATGTAATTCTTTTATTTTATAATTCTTAGAAATGAAACAAAAGTAGGCTTATACGATGTTACTTAAATCTTGCAAAATTTTTACTTTCTTTCTTAGGTGTGCACGATACTTTACGACAATGACAAAAAAAAACTTGGCGACTTGAATCCAAGGTATTTCTTTGTGATCTAACCGAGTCATGAATTACACCATCAAGGGCGAAAGTTTCCGATTGCCAGATGGTATCTTGCGAATGGCGAAATATCTGAATGCATCCGTTTTCTATTTCAAGTCTTCCCGTTATGTGCAGAAACTACAAATCTAAAGAATTTGCGATTAAAATACGCCTATGTGATACGGAACGTGATTCCTAACATATGTATCGTATAGCTCATCGACATATATACACGGAGAAAATTTTATATTAAGTTTTAATACAATTTTAAATTACACTTTACTATATCTTGTATTTTCGATGGACTCTCACAACATGTGTGATTCCGACTTAACTTTTACTATGGTAATACTAATTTTTATCACATAAATAAAGTAATTATTTTGTTAAGCCATATTCTAACATGAAAACAGTTAATTTTTACTATGGTACGCAAACAAAATTTGCTAGGTACATTTGATTTTGTAATAAAAAATTTTAACTATGAAAAAATGTAAAAATTACGTTATATTATTGTTTTTAAAAAAATGACTATAGCATTTAAACTTACAATTTACATGAAGACCGCAGCTACTATCACATTATAGTAATTTTAAATATAAAATTTTTTCCGTGTAGTACTGGATGGAGCATGCGGCGAAATCTCTTTGAACTTTCGTCTTGACGGACCTAGAAAGAGTAAGATAGCTTAAGTGGGCACGGAACTCTCTTTCTACTCTTGTCCTATTGGTTGAATTATGTTTCAGAAGAGGGAGGACAGTAGTGTATTCTTTAAAGTCAGGAGCCATCATAGTATTGACTGGTACTAACGCAGTATGAGATAATCCTAAATTTACGTTATTGATTATTACATACAAAATAAAACTTGAAATATGATTTATACGTGTAAAAGTAATACTCTGAGCACAGATATACCAACTCATTCGTAAGTAAAATTAATTACAATTTTTTAATTCCTCAGGGCCTTTGATTACATGATTCATTACTATCCCCATAATCGGTCTATCTCTTTCTAGGTCTGCCAAGATGGTTTCGATGCTAATGCTCCGTCCAGTACTATATGTCGATGGTATAGCCATGAGCTCATATTCTGTACACATCTACCGACAGTTGTCGATAACTAATGATAGTCAATGGCAAGGACTATCCTAGAAAAAAAGCACAATTTTCATTAACTATCGCTACTTAACGATATTATGGGCCATGAACATGCTATATCGCGTCGGACGATATTTTCCTTCAGTCTGTTTATAGAAGTGCCTAACATGTTGGAACACTTGCAAATCACTTGGTTAGTCTAAAATTAATAAGTAATTTCTGAAAAATTTTATCTACAATTAATTTATGAAGAATAAGAAATCTTGTTTCGAACTATTATTGAAATCATAATTAGACGTTTGCGTTATTAAATAAAATAATTTATAGATTGTTATTAAAATATTTATTAAGATTTGTTATGCATTTACGTTTAATGATTAATTAAAAGTTTTAATCACATATAAGTTCTAACTGACATAAAACTTATAATCACATAATAATATACATATATGTACATTAACACCTTTCAAGGGAAAGTTTCTTAAAATGTAAAAGAAAACAGAACGCGATGTAGAAACTTGGTTATGGATTAATATAATTACGTTTCCATGTATATTAGCAAGCAGTCTTTTTACAGGAAACGTATATTGCGTGCCGTAAATGCACGCAAATGCAAAGTAAATTGAAGTTAGATCAGATTCACGTTTATCTGGTTTAGTTAAGCGTATATTTCTTCGTATAAAATACAAAATAAAAATATTCGTGAGTTTATAGCAATATTCAGACCAACTTAGTAAATTATAATATCGTGTATTACATAATGTCAACTTCAACATTTCTATCATGATATAATTTTTAAATACGCAGTAAACCGTATCGTATTTTTAAATACCAAATAGACCATATCGCATGGTTTAAGCAAAAAATAAGGGACTTCTAGTTTATTTTTCCGATAAAAAGTTTATTTATTTATTGAAAGTTTTGAAATATATTCTTGTTAATGCGTGTATGTACAATGTACATATCACGTGTGATACAATCTGCATACATTTTTTCATTAATAAGTTACGCTTTACTTAGATGCGCGATCGATTCGTTTCACTTTTTACGTTTTTCATTTGCAATAGTATTCACTTATCTTTATAAATAAATGTATCTTGCAATAAATAATATATGCACAAAATATTTTAATTAATATAATTAAATTAAAAATAATATTTCCTAAGAAGAATGATGTGATTTACTTTAATTTTCTCATAAATATTTTATTTTCAACGTTTGTGTAAAAAAAATTATTTAATTGTCATTTAGGAAGTAAAAAATTAGTTTTCTACAGAAAACTAATTTTACCGAAATGTTTAATTTATTATTGTTTCTCCAAATTTATATTTTTTTAAATTATAAAATATTTAAATAACATTAAAATATTTAAATAACATTAAAAATCAAAATAAATAGTATCAAATTATTTTTAGATATCCTCTATAAATAATATATAATTATCATAAATATAAATAGAAAATAAATGCTCTTCCTCTATTCTCCATTCAGGGTGTATACTTATATTTACTAAATATTATTTAAGTACTAAAATAACAAAATAAAAAATGTATTTTTTTATAAAAAATTTTAGCATATAATAAAATTTTTCGCGAAACATTTGATATAACAAGTATTGAGAATAATATTTGACATAATAATATTTGACATAATAAGTTTGACTTAATAATATTTAACATAACAAATATTGAGAATAATATCACATTTCGTGTTATTAAAGTACGAGGTTTTTAAGATAGTTGTATTGCAAACATTACTTAAAAATGACTTTTTTTAAGATTTGTTAAAAATTTTACTATTTGAAGATAATATATTCTCTATGCATAATTTTTATGGTGGGGAGGAGGTAATCAGGCAAATATTAATTATGAAGCTTTAGAAAGGGTGCAATCTTCCTAAGCCTTTATAATTAACATTTACCTAGTTACTCCCTATTTTCTTCGGTTTAAGTAATTCGTATTGTACTTATCTATAGTCTTTTAGATTTTGAGCAAATTTTTAAATACCATTCTTTGCACTATAATTGAAAACATATTGTCGTTCCTTGTCTAGCACAAGAAACATATGTTAAAAGTACTAACTTTAAATGCAATTATCCTTTGAACATGCCTGCTTACCCCCCCACCCCCTCAAAAATTATGCGTACGTAAAGAGAATATCATATCTTCAAAAAGTTTCAAACAGATCTTAAGAAAAGTGATTTTGATACAACCACCTTAACTGTTTCCAAAAAATTATATTTTCAGTGCGGTAATTCAATCAAACACTAAACGATGTAGATTATTCATAATTGTAGGTCGTACAGATAATTTATCTTCGATATTTACAGCAACACCTTGACGGTGACTGGCCGAATGCATTGAATCGGAAGGAAATAACGAATCACGGTGCAGACTTAAATGGAGAGGGTGTGCGGTAAAGGGCACAAATATCGTGAAACTTTGGCGAAGAGATACAGTGCGCGTTGCAAGAGTATAGAAGCAACAACGTGTTGCTCTAGTAGTCTAGTCAGGTACTTCACCTTTCTGTAATTGCGTGTTGCAAGTAATTACATGACTTTTGCGCATAATAACATAGCGATGCGATTATAAAAAGGAACAGTGCGGTAATACTATACTTTATAAATACATGCTTCATCGTTTATCATTTATCATAAACTTATAACAATAATAATTAGCATAAAGATGATAATTGTTGTAAAACAATATTAAGAGAAAAGTGTTTGATATTTGTGACTATAACTGTATAATAAAATAATTATAATTAGAAACACCATTTTTATAATTATTATTGCTATATTAGTATAATAATATTCATAATAATAACACAGGTCCACAAAAAAAAGTACCCTGTGCTGGGAGACCCAACTATTCTTATGTATTTTGAGTCGTTGAATACGAATCTGATATAAAAGTAGGACCATCCAGGGCAAATTTTCAATCTAGAGCGAAAAAATAAC